ATCTTTTCCTTGCTTATTTTGGTGTTTATGGTTGCTGGTTTACTCGCCTTTTTTTTTCTTCTTTTTTGTTGTCCCCTCTTGTTTGCAGTTGGTCGATGGCTAGCCATCACCGGTGTGGCTCTCGGACCGGGTAAAAGAGTGGAGTTTGGTGAGTCACCGGACTTCCAGTGGTGACTCACCGCTGGGGCGACATGTGTGCGGCTGGAGATGCTCTTCTGGAAGCTTTCGACGAGACATGGCAGCGGTGGAGATGGTGGGACTAGCTGCGGTGGCCGCGTGGCCCTAGGGTATCATCACCCTAGGGTTTGTGCTGGATGCGTGTGGGCCGTTGGATCTCTCAGATCCAACGGCTGTGATACTGAGGCGGCTGGATGATATGGAAACCTTAATCTGGTTTTAGGGTTTAGTTGGGCCATCTGGGTTTGGGTTTGGTCTCTTGTAACTGGGCTTGTCTGGGTTGGGCCGGACTTGGCCTGTTTGTAATAATAATTTTAATAATAATAAATAAAATAATAATAATAATAATATATAAAATAATAATAATAATAAATAATAATAATAGAAAATGGAGAAAAATATAGTATCTTCAGCTGCCCCTCTTTGCTCATTCTCGTGTTAACAAGAATAGAACAAAGACGAAAAGATAATAATATTTTTTTATCCATTTGAATTCACTTGATTAATATGGAGATGTTGAATAAATTCTTCTCTTTCTTCAGATGAGTTCTTTTCATTATGAACTTTCCGCTGGGGATGATAATATCTCATTCTGTGATGTAATTTGGAAAAGGGTTGAACAAGTTCTTCTTATTATAAAATTTTTCTTCCTTCTTCAGATTATTATGAACTTTCCCTGGAAAAGTTGATGTTGACCTATTTCCTTCTGTGATAGAGTCATTCAAAAGGTTGAATAAGCTCTTCTCATTATGAACTTCTTCTTTCTTCTTCAGATGAGTTCTTCTCATTATGAACTTTCTCTGGAAAAGTTGATGCTGATATATCTCCTTCTGTGATAGAATTATGCAAAAGGTTGAACAAGCTCTTCTCATTGTGAACTTCTTATTCTTCAGATGAGTTCTTCTCATTATGAACTTTCTCTGGAAAAGCTGATCTATCAAGTGATGGATTTGAGCAAAAGGTTGAACAAATTCTTCTCATTATGAATTTCTTCTTCTTCAGATGACGAGTTCTTCTCATTATGAACTCTACCTGGCAATGTTGATCCATCAAATGATGAATTCAAACAAAAAGTTGAACAAATTCTTCTCATTATGAACTTCTTCTTCCTTCTTCAGATGAGTTCTTCTCATTATGAACTTTCTCTGGAAAAGCTGATCCATCAAGTGATGGATTTGAGCAAAAGGTTGAACAAATTCTTCTCATTATGAATTTCTTCTTTCTTCTTCAGATGACGAGTTCTTCTCATTATGAACTCTACCTGGCAATGTTGATCCATCAAATGATGAATTTAAACAAAAAGTTGAACAAGTTCTTCTCATTATGAACTTCTTCTTCTCTTTCTTCAGATGAGTTTTTCTCATTATGAACTCTAACTGGCACTGTTGATCCATTAAATGATGGATTTAAATCTTTGCTAAAATCTTTGAAATTCCTGTCAAAATTCAACATGGATAAAATGAATGAAAATGCACCTATTTTTGCAAATGCCTAAATATGATGCATGAATGTTAAGTTTATTTTTATTTGATTTCAAATTGGTGAACTTAGTATTTCTTCAGTTGTGTAGAAATCCAATAAATATTTCTTCTTCAAATCGGAGAATCTATCATCTTTGAAAAATGTAGATGTAGATATAATGTTAAAAACCCCTTGAGAACAAAACTCAATGACACAGGCTCTTGAAAAGTTTGCACTCATGTAACATGTTGATTCTAATAACTACTCATCTAATTATGAAGTGATCTCTCAATATGATTTCACAGATATTGATAGTTCTTTTGATACCGAGAAAATCCTGAATTCTGATTCTAATGAGGAGAGTAAACTGTTATACTTGACGAAAATGGGATACTCAAATGCTATGTCTTCAATAGTCATAGAGATATAATCCTGATTCATCAATTGCAGAGTTGACAGATTTTATATGTGCTGCTCAAATGGCTAAGGCTGTTGACACACTTCTTCCGGTAAAATATAGGAAGCCATTATGCAATGATCCCAATTACAAGAAAAAGCAAAACTCGAGCTATGATTTTCTTAAAAAACAAGAAGCAGAGGAAGCTTGAAAAGAAGCTTCTTAATGAAGACGATCATGCAGTTCATCTTTCAATTCTAATGATTGGTTCTGGGGTTCCTACCGATTCAGATCAGATAACTCAAAGAACACTTCCAGAAGATGCTATTGGGTCTCCTTATTTCTACTATGAGCAAATTCCTCTTTCAAATCTAATGATTGGTTTTGGGGTTCATATCAAACCAGATCAAATAACTCAAAGAATACTTCCAGAAGATGCTATTGGGCTTCCTTATTTCTACCATGATAACGTGGCACTTGCTCCAGTTGATGTTTGGACTGGAATATCACAGTACTTATTCGATGTAGAATCAGAATTTGTAGATTCGAAGCATTTTCATGCTGCTACATTGAAAAGGGCATATATTCATAATCTGCCAATTGAGAACAGATTTCTTCTTGTTCCGCTTCCAAATAACTCTATGATGGTAATAATTTGTTTGCTATGTATTCCATGCCTTTAAAAGTATGAACATAAAGTGATATTCAGAAATCTTTAACTTATTTCAAAATTATGTTAATCCGTTTACAAAATAAAAGAATAAGTTGAATTTTCGAAAATAAATCTCAAATAAATTAATTTTAGAGGAAATAAACTTTAGAATTTATTAATAAATAGACAGAATTGTATTCATAGGAATGATAAAAAATTCAAATGACTCAACAAATTATTAGCATAAGTATTTCTAAATTAATTAAATTGACACAATTTAGAGTACTGATGTAAGCTTTTGTCTGGAAGATCTCAAACGTTGTCAGAATGCTTGTAGATGTGAAGTTCCTCCCAAACTATCAAAATCTTAAGAGGGTTCAATTGCCAGATGCCTAATATCAACATGTATTTGAGCCGCCCATTCAGGTTTTCAACTCAAATCCTTCCTTTAGTTACAAGATGCCCTTTGCGGGTTTTCATCTTGACCCCCTTTTTTCTCTTTTTTTTTCTTCTTCTTCTCTTTTTTTCTTCTTTCTTCTTTTTTCTTTTTCTTCTTCTTCTTCTTTTTTTTTCTTTTCTTCTTTTCATTTTTTCTTCAAGCATAATATTTCTTGACAGAATCCGAATTTATTGGATTTCTCAGAATTTTTCCATCAATTTCTGCCAAGATCAACGCTCCTCTGGAAAAGGCCTTTTTTACAACGTATGACCTTTCCCAATTAGGCATCCATTTCCCACAGAAATCTTTATGTATAGGCAAGATCTTTTTTAGTACTAGATCACCCTCTTGGAATTCTCTTGGATGTACTTTCTTGTCATGAGACTTCATCATCCGTTTCTGATACATCTGTCCATGGCAAATAGCTTTCAATCTTTTCTCCTCAATAAGGTTCAATTGATCAAATCTAGCTTGGATCCATCTAGCTTGGATCCATTCAGATTCATCCAATTTTGTTTCTCTCAAAATTCGAAGCGATGGAATCTCAACTTCAATTGATAAGACTGCTTCCATCCCGTAGACTAAAGAAAAAGGCGTTGCCCCAGTAGATGTTCTAACAGTAGTTCGGTATGCATATAAAGCAAAAGGTAACTTCTCGTGCCAATCTTTGTAAGTTTCAGTGGTCTTTGTAATGATTCTCTTGATGTTCTTATTTGCTGCTTCAACTGCCCCATTCATCTTTGGACGATATGCCACTGAGTTTGCATGTTTGATCTTAAATTGTGCACAAAGTTCAGTCATCATCTTGTTGTTCAGGTTCAGAGCATTATCTGTAATGATCCTTTTTGGTAGACCATACCGGCAAATTATTTATTTCTTTATGAATTTGCAGACTGTGGACCTCTTAATATTGGCATATGAAGCAGCTTCAACTCACTTGGTAAAATAATCAATTGCCACAAGGATGAAACAATGTCCATTTGATGTTTTTGGTGTGATTACTCCAATGACGTCTATTCCCCACATAGAAAATGGCCAAGGTACTGTCATTACATGTAAAGGAGATGGGGGTACATGAATCTTATCTGCATATATCTGGCATTTATGACATTTCCTTGCATAATCAATGCAATCTGTGTGCATGGTAGCCCAATAGTATCCATATCTCATTATTTTTCTAGCCATGGAAATACCATTTGCATGTGTTTCACATATTCCACTGTGTACTTCTTCAATGATGCTTCTGGCTTCGCTGGTATTTAAACATCTCAATAGAATTTGATCATTGCTTCTTCTATACATAGTCTCGCCATCAAGAAAATATCCATCAACCATTCTTCTCAAGGTTCTTTTATCAATTTCAGATGCATTTTGTGGATAACTTTGATTTTTGATATATTGCAGGATATCATAATACCATGGTTTACCATCTACCTCTTCTTCCACACTATAACAATGTGCAGGAATTTCATATACTTGCATTTTGATTGGCATCATATCAACTTTCTTAGTTGCCTGAAACATAGCAGCTAATGTAGCCAAAGCATCTGCCATTTGATTTTCTTCTCGAGGGAGATAATTGAAGGTGACTCTCTCAAATTCTTTCACTAATTCGAGGGTAGAATTTTGGTATTCCAACAATTTGGGATCTTTTGTTTCCCATTCACCTCTCAATTGAACACCACTAACGATGAATCTCCATGTATCTTGAGACATTTGATTTTTCTTTCTATAGCTGCTTTCAATCCCATGACACAAGCTTCATATTCCGCCATGTTATTGTTGCAAAAGAACTCCAGTCTACTTGTAAAGGGATAATAAATATTTTCTGGAGAAATTAACACTGCCCCAATTCCTCGTCCCAATGCGTTGGATGCTCCATCAAAGTAAAGCTTCCAAGATGCATCATTTGTTCTGACTTCTTCATTCATGGATATGCACAACAAATCTTCATCTGGAAAATTAAAACTCAAAGGCTGATAATCATTCGATACACGACTGGCCAGAAAATCAGCTATGACACTTCCTTTTATCGCTTTTTGGTTGACATATACAATATCAAACTCGGATAATAACATCTGCCATCTAGCCATTCTGCCTGTCAAAGCTGGTGATTCTATTAAGAATTTCAAAGGATCAAGTTTGGATATCAACCAAGTAGTATGATATAACATGTATTGTCTGAGTCTTCGAGTAGCCCACACCAAGGCACAACATAATTTTTGTATTGGTGGATATTGAATTTCACAATCAGTAAATTTCTTGCTCAGATAATAAATGGCTTTTTCTTTTCTTCCAGATTCATCATGCTGTCCCAGTACACATCCCATCGAATTTTCAAAGACTGTCAAGTAGAGAATTAACGGTCTATCAGGCATTGGTGATACTAAAATGAGGGAATTGGATAAATATTTCTTAATAATATCCAAAGTTTCTTGACATTCATTATTCCAGACTTCAGGATTGTTCTTTCGAAGTAATTTGAACACTGGATCACATTTGTCAATTAATTGAGAAATAAACCGAGATATATAATTTAATCTTCCCAAAAAGCCTCGAACTTCTTTTTTTGTATTGGGTGGTGGAAGATCTTGATTTTCTTTTACTTTATCTGGATCAATCTCGATTCCTTTTTTGCTGACCACAAATCCCAAAAGCTTCCCGGAAGTTACCCCAAAAGTACATTTAGCGGGGTTGAGCTTTAATTGATACTTCCTCAATCTCTAGAAAAGCTTTCTCAAATTTTGAATATGTTCTTCTTCAGTTCGGGATTTGGCAATCATGTCATCTACATATACTTCAATCTCTTTGTGCATCATGTCATGAAACAAAGTTACCATGGCTCTTTGATACGTTGCCCCTGCATTTTTCAATCCAAATGGCATTACTTTATAGCAAAACGTGCCCCACATGGTTACAAATGTTGTTTTTTCCATGTCTTCAGGATTCATTTTTATCTTATTATATCCTGGAAAGCCATCCATGAATGAAAACCATACGTGTCCTGCAGTATTGTCCACCAAGGTGTCTATGTGGGGTAATGGAAAACTATCTTTCGGACTAGCTTTGTTGAGATCTCTGTAATCCACACACATTCGAACTTTCCCATTTTTCTTTGGTACTGGAACAATGTTGGCTACCCATTCTGGGTATTTGGCTGCCTGTAGGAAACCTGCATTAATCTGCTTCATCACTTCCTCTTTGATCTGCAACAACATTTCTGGCCTCATTCGCCTGAGCTTTTGTTGGTCCGATTTATATTCTGGATTGATTGGAAGCTTGTGCATAATTATATCTTTACTCAAACCAGACATATCTTGATAAGACCAGGCGAAGATATCTTTGATCTCTTGAAGGAGATTTATCAATTCTTGTTTTATCTGGATTGTCAGAGTAGTACCAATTTTCACCTCTTTCATTTCTTCATATGTTCCCAAATTTACAGTCTCAATCTCTTCTTTGTGAGGTAAAATTTGCATATCTTCTTTTTCTACCAGTCTTAATAATTCAGTAGGAACATCACATTCCAGTTCATCCTCACACCCATTGATTTCTTCCAAACATATGGGCTGCTCTAAATTTATCTCTCGATTAAATTTAGGAATAAACATGCTATTAACATTGTGACACCTGCAAATTTAAGCCGGACATATTTATGAAAGAATATAGTAAATTTATGAAATAAATAAATGTAAAAAATGTAAGAAAATGTAAAGAATGATTGCCATCTGAAAATTTTAAAGAAAATTTCTTATATTTAATATTAGGTGAACTTAACATAATTTCCTTTACAATATAACAAAAAGTTTTCAAACTTTTGGGCTAAACATAAAGATTAGTTCTGAATATTACTCTGTGTTAATATTAAAAACTATAGGAAGGTCTTCAGCGGTCCAATTGTTGAGTGTTTCTCCAGGAAAACAAGGGCGAATCCTAGCTAAGTATTTGCCAGTCTTGTTGTCATTCATGATCATGTTGATAAATAATCATTTCATAGCTTCTTCAACTATGCTTTGATCTTTTGTCAACTTTTCTTCTTTAAAGGCCTCAACAAGCTGTTGTTCTATATTAATTGTTCCCCCTGATCTGAATGTGGTCTTCAACTGTGGGAAAAACATGTGTTCCCAAAGGATTTCTTCTCATTTCAACCTTGCCTTTCTATCTTCACATCTTCTTTTCATCTATTTGTTCTTTTGCTGAAAATTGGGCTTAAATCCAAGCCCAAAATGATCTTTCTTCATCTTCATACTTACAGGAACTGAACTCCCTTGAAGATTCTTTCCTAAACCTTTACCAGTTTTAGCTCCGATACCTAAAGTATGTCGTACCGCCATCTTGGTGCAATCAGACAATCTGGGATATGGAATTTTGCTTCCTTCTGCAATAAAGGTTGCATTGAAAAATTCAAGAGCTTGGAAAAAGCATTCGAGAGCATCATCATTGGTCTCAATATACGGAACATCACTTGTTATAGACGCAATGATTTCTTCTTCAGCTCCTACGCATATTAGTTGTCCATCAACAACGAATTTCAATTTCTGATGTAATGAATAAGGAACGGCTCCTGTAGAATGAATCCATGGTCTCCCTAATAAACAATTATATGTAGGGTGTATTTCCATTACCACAAAGTCAATATTGTACACGACTGATCCGATTAACAACGATATTTCCATTTTCCCAAGCACCTCTTTTTGAGTGCCATCAAAAGCTCACACTACATTCTGATAACTTTTCATGTGTGATTTATCCACATGCATTCTTTGAAGTGTGACTAGAGGCATCAAGTTAAGAGCAGATTCATTGTCAATCAATACTCATGGCAAAACATGACCATGACAATGTGTGGTAATATTCAAAGCTTTTACTGACCCCATTCCACCTTCAGGTATTTCATCATCCGTGAACGTTATGTAATTGTCAGCGGCTATATGTCCCACAATTCTGTCAAGTTTATTGAGGGATATATCTTCAGGGATAAAGGTTTGATTAAGCATTCTCCTCAAAGCATTTCTGTGTGCTTCTGAATTCATCAATAGATCAAGAATAGAAATTCGCGCTTGTTGTTTATGTAGTTGTTCAACCACACTATATTCACTATGTTTCAGGAATTTCAAAAATTCTTGTGCTTATTTTTCTGTTACAGGCTCATTGAATGCTGGAGGGGATTCATCATCAAATACCTTTTGGGGTATTACTATGGCTTTTCCTTTTGCTTTCACCTGTTCTGATGCATTGGATGTTTCGGGAGAGTAACATCTCCCACTTCTTGTAAAGAATCTGACTTCACTTACTACTTCAGACGTCGAATCCAGATTCTGTATTTTCTCTTCTGTTTTTTTCCATAGAAACAGATCCTCCTACCATTGAAACATTGGTAGTATAATTCCAAGGTACCCTGCGGGTATCCTTGTATGGAAATGGTAAAGGAGTTGTGATAACTACTTTCGGCTTTGTTGGTGCAGGAATCACTGTAGATGATTTCACATTAATAATCACAAGATCATTTGTTCTCTGATTAGGTTTAGAATCATCTGATGAGCAAACATCATCTTCTCTTTTCCCTGGTTCTTCTTCAAAGAATTCTATCTCTCTGTTATTCATCAATTTTTGCATCAAATCCCTAAATTCAGGACATAGTTGAATTTCATGCCCCTTCTCTTGATGATATTCACAATAATTCTTGCCTTCATTATGCTTTGGCCTGAATTCTTGTGGAATTATACCGGATAAGGAGAGTTGTTGAAATATCCAAACAAAAGGAGATTTAATTTCAAAAATGTCAGTTTTTGCTTTCTTTCTGTTCTCTTCCTGAATTGCATTCACGTTTTTATCTCCATGATTTGGCAATGGATGATTTGATGTAGATGGTGAATTGAATTCCAACTTTCCAGTGTTGATCAAATTTTGAACCACCCTTTTGAATGTCAAACAGTTTTCAATAGAATGACCCGTAATTCCTTCATGGTAAACACAATGTGCCTTTACATCATACCATGGAGGGAATGGTGGTTGCATAGGAACCAAAGGATAGGGTCGTATAACATCTACTTTTAACAGTGAATCATAGATCTCAGCATAGGGTACTGGTAAAGGTGTAAAAGAAAACCTTTCATTTTCCTTTCGAGATCCTCTGGACTCTACTCGATTAGTGTTTGTTTCTTCTTTCTTAACCCTTGGTTGGGTTATTGTAACACTTTTCGATGAATCCTTGTTGTAAGAGTTTGCATTGTTGACTTCATTCTCCTTTTTTCGGTACATAGGTCTTTTGGAACTAGACCCTTCATTTGATTTAATTTTTCCACTTTTCAAGACATTTTCAATGAGTTCTCCATAAATGACCAAATTTGCAAAATTTCTGGTTGCATTCCCTATTAGATGATTTAAATAGGGAGCTTTTAACGTATGGACAAATATTACCGTGGCCTCTTTTTCTGAAAGAGGTGGTTGAACTTGGGCTGCTGTGTCACGCCATCTCTGAGCATACTGTCTGAACGTTTCGTTATTCTTTTTCTCCAAATTTTGGAGAGTCCATCTATCAGGGACCATGTCTGTTACATGGCGGTACTGCTCTAGGAATGCCTTAGCCAGATCTTTCCAGGATCTAATGTTGGCTTTGGTCAATTGAGTATACCATTTTAAGGCTGGTCCTGTCAAACTATCTTGAAAGCAATGAATTAACAATTTTTCGTCTTTCACATATCCTGCCATTCTGCGACAAAACATAGTAATATGGGATGAAGGACATGTGGTACCGTCATATCTATCAAATTCGGGAACTTTGAACTTAATGGGGAGGATTAGGTCTGGAACCAAACTCAACTCACTAGCATCAAACCCATAGAATGATTCAGTTATTTCCACGGATTTCATTCGTTCTTCTAAGCTCTTGATCTGTCTGGTCAATTCTTCATTTACTTTTTCTTTCTCATTCAGCTCATTCAAATCTGGGATTAGATGCTCAGCATTAAAATCCCCTATTTTCACATATGATATAAGTGGATTTTTACTTGAAGATGTAGGATCCGCTTGTCGATTTTCATGTGGTTTGGTTTCTTGAAATGCTGATGTGCAGGCATTGATTTGTATAGGTGTAGTACCAGAGTGATAAATTGGTTCTGGTGGGAAACCTAGAGGATACATAGGTTCTTGGTCGAAAGATATAGGATTTTCATGCATTTTTCCAATGATAGCCTGTCTTTTAAACATGTCTTCTATTTTCTGCATCATGATGTCTTGTGAATTTGCAATACTGGCTTCAATTTTCTCTAGCTTCATTCTCATCTCTGCTTGTTCTTTATTATGCTGTTCCTCAATACGTTGTATTTTATCCTCCATAATTTTCTTAGTAGCTTGTCTAGTACCGTAGTGATGTTGTATTTCTCTTTTGGCCCGAATAACTGCGATTGAAAATTCTTTTGATATTATTTTTTCAAATTTTAATTAATGAATGTTATAAAAATTATACATAAAGAAAATAATGCAATGAATAATGAATGTATGCAAAATGCATGTATGTACAAGGTATTGATCCCAAAAAGTTAACTATCATAGAACAACTTTCATCGGCATACAAAAGTTTCTTTATAATAATTCATAACTACAGATAAGGCGTAGCTTTCCTATTAAGCTCTATAATTTCTTTCATTAGCCATGACACCTTCTTTCCGAACTTAGAAACTGGATCAACGTGATGCTCAATTATTTTTGCTTCAACAGCTAGTTCCCCAACATATCTAGCAACTTCGCTCATTTGTACCATGGCCTCGAATACCATATTACTTCTTTCTTCACTTCTTTCTACATAGAAATCAGTTGATTTTTGCCATTGTTCATTAGTTCCTTCGAGAGTTTGCTCTAACTCAGTGATTCTGACTTGACAATTGTGCAGAGTTTTTTCAAGATCTCTAATGCGTCTTCGTAGTGAAGCACTTTCCTCATTACTTTCTTTGAGATCACTAGGTCCTAGACGAACCTTTTCTTGAAATAATGACTCTTCAAGTTGCAAAATGTAAGCATTAAACTGAGTTTTTGTTTCTAGACTGATCCAGATCTTCTTCAAGTTTTGTTCGTGCTTCTTGCGTCCTTTGATTAAGCTTCTGGATTTGAACATTCTTGTTTCTGCATCTTTGCATCCAATTGCTAGCCACTTCTTGCTCTACCTCAAGTTTGGTGTTGAAATTCTTTCTTTCCAGCTCCCATTTTTCTTTTTCAACATTGAACTCTTCAATCCTTTGGCCCCTGACTTCAAGTTCGGCAATCAGATGGTTCATTTCAGATTCAAATCCCTTGAACATGATATTTTTCTCACCTTCAAATTTATCAAGAATGTCATTCTTCATCTCTTCTAAATCTTTGACTCGATCCCTTTCTCTTTGCATTTCATTCATGATCTTACGGTGTTCAGCTTTGTGTTTTATAATTCGCTCTCTTCTATCAACTTCAAAATCTTCCATTTTCTGCTTTCCTTTCTCAAGGCTTTTGAGTAGACGGCTATTCTTTCCTTTTAGATCTTCCACTCGACTTTTCTCGATGTTCAATTCTCTGGTCATCTGTACTGTTGATCGGCTTGGTCCTGATGCTTTCCGAGATTTATATAACTCCTGGTAATTTTTCTTTAATGTTCTGAATTCACAATCAATTTTTTCTTTGTTTTCTCTCAACATTGCACATTGTGATGAATGAAAGTCAATGTCAACACCCAACATAGCTTTATCTCTTCTCATTTGCTCTAATTCTCTTGAACAATCTTCTGTTTCTGCTTCAAACTCAGCTCTCAGGATTTCAATCTCTGATGGAACCACCTTAATGTGATCTTCCAT